AAATAAAAAAAATGATTTCGAGAGGCTGTTGCTCGCTTAGGGGGCACTTTAGGACATAGGTCTATAGGAACTTTTTTTCCATTTTTTGGTTAAGGAATCTGCCTGAGAATTTTGGGACACATTTTAAAGGACACCCTGTATATAAATTTCCTATAGATAAACATTGGATTTTAGCGTTTTTAGAGTTTTTAAAGATGATCCAAAACAGGTGCAAATTCATGAAACAGATTCTTTGTTAAAAAATATATATTAAAACAAGAGACAGAGAAAATATTTATTGGATAATTCATATAAATTTTTTTAATCAATATCATTTTCTTCACAACTGGACTCTGATTCAGACTCATCACTACTTGTCGTTGTACCTAAATTAATAATAATTGGTTATACCTAGATCAGAAACATCTAATTGCTTGTATTTTTCCCAATCGGAAACAATTATGTTTTTAGTGTATCTTACATAATTGTCCCACTGAGTACTGAGTATCGGTAACATTATTCAAAGCTTCTGACCAAGTCTGAGATACATCTTCCAGTTACAACTGACGACTTTGTTGTTAAAAACGTTTGCACTATGACCACACCATTCCATATCGCTCAACATATATATCTAGGTGGAATTTTTTTCGTGCTAGATTTTGACGTACAACTTCCCAAATCTGATATTTCATACCATTAATTGGATAATTAATGTTCTTTTCCTGCAACCATTTTACTATTTTATCTTTTGTCCAACTATAACATGGAACATGTACTGTTTTTTACTTGCAGTATAGCCATCGTTCCATCTTGCCAACTTTTTCTGTCACTTTATTTGCTATACACCCACGTCTCATCCATAAATAAAGGCTTAAAGCTACCCAGCTCTATCTTCTTGTTAAAAATTTTCGAATCCATGTATTAATTCACCATGCAGAACATTTCACATCAGGCATTTCTTCCGAAAATCGTTTATGTAACGATTTCATTGTTACATGTTGCGCACCTTCGTATATCTTATATATAACTTGCCTCGACTAGTAAGTTGATGCAATTCTTTAATAATAAGTATATTATTAAAGAATTGACGTTTGTTTTACTTTGGCTTACTTTTTTAGACATTATTTTCACATACTCTGTATCAAAATTTGTTGGTTTATTAAGTCTATAGATAGTTTTCTGCGAAATATTTAATGCCTCTGCAGCCATTTTAAGCGAATGTACTTGGGGTATTTCCAAGACTTTACATAATAATTCAATCAAGTAAATAATTTGGTGGATAATGAAAATCTATTAAAATTTTAAAGTGTAAATTGGCAACATTGCTCCAAATATATTCCTATTTGCCATAGTCGAATACGGCAAGTATTCAATATTTTCTGATATTTTATCATCATGCTCATAAGCATGAGCATCGTAGATACGTATCTACATTCAAAAGTCCTATAAATTAGAGTTTCACACAAACAGATTGGAAAAAACAAAATCCAAACCCACCGAACAAAGAGAAAACTCATCCACAACGACAAACTCACTTGGAATCCTTGATTTACCAACCCCTTATCCACTTTTATTTGAAGGAAGGCTAGATCTCTCATGCAGAATCGGCTTTTCGAATTGTATCATCTATATTGTTCCTAATATATACGTCTGTTTAGTGATTAGTAAAATTTGTAATTTTAGAATTTATAAATCTTTAGTAGGGAATGTTTTATAAGATTATGATATAAAAATATAAAAACTTCAATAAAGTTTAGAAAGATATTGAGATTTTGGAAAAATATCAAAAATATGATATGTATAAGAAAATTGTACAAAAGTTATATATAGAAACTTAGTTTTATGTTAAATAAACAACATTTTTTTATCAATAGATACCTACGATACCTACCTACAAAAATTTGTAACTTCTACAATATTAAAAAACTAAACAAAATTTGCTTTTTCAGAATGAGTAAGGTATTGTTTTGTTTTTACAAATATAATATGTATACTTAGGTATAAATAAACTTAATTTTTTATTATCCATAAAACGTACTTATTGTGCCTTTTTACAATATTATTTCCATGATGAATGATTCAAATCAAAGCATAATATTATTATTTTGCTTAAACATTATAATAATGTTTGTACAATTTAGCGAGAATAATAAATCTTTTTCCTGAATTTGAGTAAATGTTGTTTTATATGAGATTTAGATGAAAAATTATTATTAATCATTGTTATGATATTTATATTTTTTATTTAAGTCAAGGGTGGCTCCAAGTAAAATTTTTGGAATGGACTTTTGCCGTTAGAACTACTATACATAGTTAAATAATCAAATGGAATTTTAAAGAACAAAACAGTTTGTAAATTTTTATAAATCAAAGGGAATTTCTTTTCATTTTACTTTAATTTATTTTGTTACCTATCATGTTATTTAATTTTGGGGATTTCTTTAGCTCTTTAAGTTCCTAAAAAGTTTTTTTAATATTTGCTATTCAAAAATAATGTATTTTTCATGAATTCAGTCACAAATCATTATATGGGAAGGTATAAATGACTGTCACTTAAATACCCTTAATGAAATACAAAAATAGACTCTAAAAATAATATATGATAAACAGAAGACTTATTCCACAGAAAGCATGTTTCAAAAAAAAAAAGTTTTTGACATTACGGCCAAAAATATTACTACATATTTAAAAATAAAGATAACCGAATGAAAAAAGTATACCTAAGTTCATAATAGAAATAAAAACATTTAAAGAAATGAAATGCAATAAAACTATATTGGTAAACGTATATTACCAAATGAGTTCCAACTGGTAAATACATGTTTAAATCTAAAATTACAAAAAATGGGTCTTTTCTAATATACAGGATCCCTACTATTTCATAGGGACAGTATTGATATTTCTTAAACGGTAACAGATAGAAAGTTGGTTAAATTAGACAAAAGTTGCGCAATTTTAGCTCATTAAAATGATACCAAGAAACCTTTGATACCTACAGGGAGTTTCAAAATTACGGACAATAAATTAATGAATTTAAAGAAATGATAATTTTAATTTTTTTGTCCGATATTAAATGTTTTTTGGCACCATTTTAATGAGCACAAAACTGCACAACTTTTGTTTATTTTAACCAACTTTCTATCTGTTACCGTTTAAGAAATAGCCATACTCTGTCTTTATGAAATAGGGACCCCCAAAATTGATAAAACAAACACAAAACATTATAATCAGTTACAAACGTTCCCGATTCAAGACGATTATCGCAACTGTAGACGTTTATGACGACACTAGATATTTATCCTCATTGTAGGCGTTTATCCCGTTTGCAAGCACTTATCCTGGTTATAGACCTTTCCTTACTCTCCCAATATCTTGTCCTCAAAAAAACACCGAAAAAAAAAGGAACCAATTGTAATTTTCAATTATTTTTAATATATTTTAATTTGTTACATTTAGGGCCAGTAAAGTTGAAAGTAACTACTTGGTGATTAAACTATAGGGCTATTGTTTGTTAATCTGTTAAGTAAACCTACATGTAACTTTACTCAGAGGTGAAAAGATCGACCCTTAATAATAAAACGAAAATTATTTTATTTACATTTTATTTTGCATGCAATTTAAAAAGGTTGATAGTATTGTGGCAAATAAAATATATTTTATATCCTTGTACATTCTCGAGAAATCCTCACAGATACATCTTCTTAAATCCTCCTTTTTGCACATCTACATTATTAGTGATTTATCACTCTACGCTCTAGTATATTCACACAACTTCCTATGATTGTTTTTGTTTGTATACTTATTGTCTTGCAACCAGTCCGACCCTGTTCTTTGTTTACCTTCACCGCTGACGTTACCGCAGACGCTGGCATATCGAGAATCGACAGGAATGTTCTTCGTATGCAGGCATACGCGTGGAGAAAGGATTTCGCCAGCGCATCGAGATTCTTCTAGACAGGACTGCATTTTTTCTAGACTGTTACATTTTTGTATATAAGTGTATTTTTTGGATATACTAAGTTAAGTCTTAAAATAAATGTGTGTTGAGTAAAGGTAAATTGTTTAATAAATTATAAATTTGAAATAGTGTTAAGTATAAATTATTAATTAATACTTAGTGTAAATAAATTGTAAATAAACAGTTTTAGATAAATAAACAATTTTTAAAATAAACACATGACTTTCCCATTTAGTTATTACAGGCTTCTTCTGGTTATTCTGTACAACCTATCGTAACACCCCTGTAAATGTTTAGAGGATGAACTGAATACATACATTTTTCACACACATCTTACTCGAAACATTTTTTATATAATTCATTGCCAAGGAAAATACTGAAAAATTAAAATTTTACACTTTTCCTCAAATTTTTTCATTACGGTCCATTTTAGAGAAATCGTGTATGAAACAAAAATTATAGAGAATGATATCGCAAACAACTTTTATTTAAAGAAATCCTAAATAACAGATATTCCTTTAAATAAAATAACGACGCCCCATAAAGTACCTCCCCCCAGATGCTTCGACTATGCCCAAAATTTAATAAGCTCATCGCAGCATGGATTAAGGCATAATGTAAAATTTTGTTTTTTTCTGTATCCGTTTTTGAGTTATCTTCAAAATTCGAAATTTTTACTTTATCAAGTACGTTGCTATCTAAAAAAAAATAATAAAAACATAATATTTGATATCGAATAAAATATCTCTTCACCTACATCGCTTCCAGTACGATTAATTCGCCCCCTTAAATCGTCCCTGCGTTTATACTCGCACAAAACCTACACCCAGAGCAAAGAAAAATCAATGAACCCTTGTGAAAATCCCAACGTAAACCTCATACCTTGGGGTGAGAAGGGCGTGCCCGGCAAAGGCGGCGCCTAAAACGCTACCCTTCTAGAGCGTCCCAAACCCCCCTCCCCTTATACCGCTTTGTTTTCACACCACCACCGGAAAATGCGGTGACTTGAACCATCATTGTTTCAGTCATCAAAATATTGAGATAGCATTTCTAGTCAGATATAATCTCTACCTCGTACTGTACACAACGGATGATTCTTATCTTTTATATCAAACGCGATATTTTGATAACTTCATTCATAAAATTTTATTCGCTACTAGAAGTTATCAGTCGTATATCTTTATCGGAAATAACTTTTCGAAAAGTGATCAGTGATGTACGTTGTATGGAAGATACTATGACAATTAAAATTTGTTTAGTGACTGTATAAATTAAAAAGTATCTGCGCCAGTTTGTGTAAAATATAAAGTTAATTTTTGTGAGCACCTACTTCAAGATCTCCTACTTAACTATAAATGCTTACTATGGATGACAGCTGTCGGCTTCTGACAACAGAACTAGACCCACAACGATACACAGTTCCCGACAGCCCTCTGGATCTAAGAGGATCCACAACAGAATCCACAGAAGTTAAAACGGAAAAAGATAAATCTAAAAAAACAAACCATCAACTAATTAAACCACCCTATTCTTACATAGCTCTGATAACGATGGCGATATTGCAATCGCCTCATAAAAAACTAACCCTGAGTGGCATCTGCGAGTTCATCATGTCCAGATTCCATTACTACAGAGAAAAATTCCCAGCCTGGCAAAACAGCATAAGGCACAACTTATCATTAAACGATTGTTTCATAAAAATACCTAGAGAACCTGGTAATCCTGGTAAAGGCAACTACTGGACCTTAGATCCTCTAGCTGAAGATATGTTCGATAATGGCAGCTTCTTGAGAAGGCGTAAAAGATATAAAAGACCGTCGCCGAATTTAATGTTGAGGGACCATCATGCTTCCGCGATGGTAGCATCGTTTTTAAGCAGTCAAGAAAACTATCACCACAGCATTTTTAGTCACACCAGTTTGCACAATCCGTACTCTTATATTCCGGGAATACCAGGGAATATGCCGACGAATTTACCGCTTTTGAGCCCTATGGATCTATCCAGACTTGGTTTAGGACATCTAGGGTTAATACCACAGCATACTCTTTGTAAACCTGTACCTGTACAACCTCCTAGTGTTACGGATACAGAAGATTATACCACCGATATTAAAAAAGCTAAAAATGGCTTTTCTATTGATTCCATCATGGGGAACGAGGGCGGGAATAGAGGTAAAAGTCCTGATGTGAATTTAGGCAGGATTCATAATCAAGGATCGGCATTTTCGCCGCTTTCGTCTAGCGACGATTGGACTAGGTGAAAATTTTAGAAAATCTTTATAGAGGTAATTAATTTTGTATTATATGTGCGGGTTGAACAGACTGATCTTTATATAAGAAAATGACATACATGTATTAAGTACAAAAATGCTTGAAACACTGTCTTATAATTATTTAAGACACAAGTGGATAAAGGTGTCATGTCATATTTTTTCAGAAAATGATTTTATGGCCTAATATACTTAAAATATACTATATTTTTTGTGTGTGATAGTTCTGATTTCCAATTTTGAAAAATAACGGCTATTGATCACATAGGAAGGTGTCATGAGCCATATATTAAAATGCAATTTTAAACTTTAAACTTGTTTTTATCGAAATAATCTTTTTTGTGACATGACACCTTTATCCACTCGTGTCTTCAATTATAATATCTCAATAGGAAACGATCTTTTTAATAAATTTGTTGGAAAAATCGTAAAACAAAAAAACAGTGTTTCTGGTGCATGTTTTAATTATATACTACATTCCAAATAGTAAAAAATTAAGAATATAAAAATATTTGGTACCTAATTAATTAACCTAATTAGTATTAGTTAAATCCAAAAAATTTTATGCAAAAAAATAATGATTGGAAACTTCTGGATAAATCTTAAAATTTCATAAAAATATCTTTTAAATTAAATAAATAACAAACTCTTCTATAATTAGGACAGCAAGGCATGAACATTAATCTACAATTTTTATTTCAGACATTTGTTTTAGCATTAATGCTATCTTTAAAGAACAAAAATGTCTAAAATACATTATAAAGTTTTTTTTTAAATATAATTAAACATGAAATTAGAGCACAAATAAATATCACACAATGTGTTGTTTAAAATGGAGAATATGTCATATAGGGGGCGCTATGTAACATAAACTGAGTAGGTAGGTACTTCGGATATGTTTTTTTTTAGTTACTATTTGCATCCGTATTTTTATTTCGTGGAAAATTAAATCGAAGTAGATTCCACATAATTGACCAATATTTAGCAATTTTTATTTTGCAGTATCGCTTGATATTTTACAACTTTAATTGTTCCGTCAATAAACTGTAGTTCTCGTAAATTACTTAGACTCAGCTGTGTAGGCATGTAACTTTTTTCCATTCGTCTAAAGTCTAACTTTCATTGGATTTGTCCCCGTTTAAGCGGAATATTTTTTGAGCTGCAATCAATAGAGGTTTTTCCTTGGCCTAATAAATAAGTTACTTATACAATTAACTCAAATACTCATTCATTAATATTTATCTTGTAAAATCCAAGTCTAGTTTGATGTATATAATTCCAACAATACTCTAGACATTAAAATTGTTATATTCATTTCATAAAGTATAGTGATTTCTCTTAAAAAATAATTTTATGGAGAATTCAGCAATAAGACTATTCATTGCGTTATTTATGATTTCTATTCCGTCAGAATTAGAGAAAAATTACCCTGAAACGAAAATGTTTAGTAGAATAGAAACCCAGGTAACAATGAAAGAAAATTTGACTTCTTTTGATAAAATTTCCCTTTACGCAAAGATGAGAATGATCGGAAGAAGGTATATATGCATATATACATTTTTCGGCGTTTTTTCCTATTTTACTCACAAACGATGCATTTTCATGAAAAATTTTACTGGACTTTTTTGAAGAACACGAGCTTCTATCGATTGTGTTCCTATATATTTTTTGCCAAACTTCATATTTTTGACGCTAGAGCACACCAAAAAAAAATGTTTATATTTTGCGGTTTTTAGCATTTTACTTGAAAACAACGTACTTTGGTGGAAAATGTAATAAGAGAAAAGTTGTAGAGCGGAAAATTTCCTATCGAACCTATAAAACAGATTTTCCGGAAACCCGTTGTTTCCGCTACAGGGCATGCTAGAAAGTTGCTGTTCAATTTATCGTATTCGTAAACAAAGGAAATGTATATATTTTGTTAAATTCCACAATCCATAATCTTGAATATACATTTTTTTTATCCAAATGGATAGGTTTGACAAAAATTTAATGATCTTTTATTGAAAAAACGACTCACCTTTCACGCATGCCCTATAACGATGGTTTCATAGGTTGGATCGGAAAATTTTCGCTTTACTTTGGTTTTATGAAATTTTCCACCAAAGTGAGTGGTTTTTTATGTAAAATGTGAAAAACCGCAAAATGAATACATTTGTTATTTTGGCGTCCTCTAGCAAAAAAAAAAATTTGAAATTTTACAAAATGTATAATGGCATAATCGATAGAAAATCGTTTGTTCTTCCAAAAAAGACTAGTAAAATTTTTCATGAAAACGCATAATTTTTGAGTAAAATATAAAAAACTGAAAAAAACACCAAAAAATGTATAATTATGTACATATAATACCTTCTTCCGATCATTCCCATTTCTGCGCATAGTGCAATTTTGTCAAAAGAAGTCAAAACTTTCAATGTTATCTGGGTCTCTATGCTGTACTAAAAATTTGGCTTTGAAAAATTAATTCCCGTGGATTATTTAGCGTCTTCTAGAGGGATAAAAAATGTTACGTATTATAAAGTGTGACGCTTCATTTTAAAGCTAATTATATTAATTCAGTGCACCACATAACAGTCTAAATATATCCATATTGCATTTACCTACAACATAATACAGTTATCAGTAACGCAAACAAGGACTAAAATATAGATTAATGTTATGCGATGCATTGAATCAGTAATATAATTAGCTTTCAAATCAAGTGTCGCATTTTGCAATACGTAATATTTTTATTCCTCTAGAGGGCGCTAAAATCGACAGTTATAATAATAATAATAATAATAATACTCTCCCTAATTCACCCCCTTACGAGAGAATTTCAACCCCTTAAGTCGACTGAGCGACTTGTGTAGGGGAAGGGACTGCTATTATTATTATTTGTCGTGGCGCTCCGGGGCGACTTAAAGATGATTGATGGTGCCATTTGACTTATAGGTGAAGAAAACCCGGAAAACCTCATCCACCATCATCGAGATGGTAACGCATGGAGATTTTATTATATGCATGTGATATCAGCAGAAATTGAATTTATATTATACGGCACACATCAAATCCTATAACCAACCATGCAATTTAATTAAAAATCCACATAATCTGGTGTAGGATTCGAAGTCCGTCTGTCTCTGACCGCAAACTTGCCTATAAATGAATATAAGCGGATGAGACCGCTATGTCACCGACCCGATAATACAAGTAACGAAATGAATAGTAATATTGCTGAATTCTTAATAAAATTACCTTTAAAATGATGTGCTACTTGACCCCACTTCCTTTGTAATAAGATTTTAAGGGTAACATCTACGTCAAAACCGCAAATTAATCTATGTTTCGTTTGAATATTTTGTAAGAATATTTATTACAATACGCTAAATTATTGATAACGTAATTTTGGTTCCAATTACAATGACAGTTATTTTTTTGAATCCGTTTTATTCGCATTGAGTTTGTTTTGGTTTAAACAGAACCGTCGATTCCAGTTCTCAAATACAGTGGACGAATTAATTTTTCAAGAACACGTCGCGATGTTATAACAACCTCTTATATGATCGATTTTAATTCAGTTATTTTGAACTAGTTTCCGAAAGAACCAAAACAAGCTCTGTGTTTACCTAAATTATATTGTTTTTGAACTTTTATAAATATATTTCTGGAGTAAGTAGATAACATGCAAATATATAATCATTTAGTAACCAATTGCATACCTTTAAATTAAACCATGATACTATAAAAAGAAGGTATGATATTACGCTAATTGATACCCCGGTCAGGGTGACATATTGTGTTGGGAAGGCGTGGCTTTTACGAATGTGAGGTCTCAGCTGATCGAAAACAGCGCGCAAAAATAAATTTAAATCTGTTCATGGTCAATAAAGTAGCAATATTCCACGCCACAGTACGTTGTGCACGAACTCGGCGAGATTTCGTCAGCTAAGTATCATGCCCCTGTAATTTTTGTATCATGCCTTTTTATGACATGCAAACAATATTTAATAAAAATAGAAACAGTAGAAACATATATGTCAAATATTGTTAAAAGTATGGTTAGAATTAACTGTCAGTAGAACCAAAATTACGTCATCCTTTTATAGAATATTATTCTAATAAAAACACAAATTACTAGAAAAATTTCATTTATTACCAAAATAATTTAAAAAATCACATTTTTATTAATTTCTTTTTCCGAAGTTTTCTATATTTCTGGCTTTTACCAACCACATTGTAGTAACGTTTACACCACAACCTATTTATATACATGGTGTTTACAAACATACATTGTGAAAATAATTTTTAAAAATCTGTTGCGCTACCACAAATTTATCCGATGTGGCCAACTTCTGTTCCGTGTTTAGGACACCACTGCTTTATTATATTTAGAAGAAGTTTTTCGTCAGTTTCACGTGTTAAATATGTAAAAAAAAATTGTAGTTTGAAAATAACAAAAAAAAATTAGAGAAATATTTGTACTCTCTAATTTCCTATGAAGGTAGATTTTTGGAAACAGCCTGTATATAAACTCTGTATTAAAAACCCGCACATATTCGTAGATTTTTTAAAGACCAAAGATATGAAAAGCCGACTGTAATGTGATTTAACTGTTGCAATATTTATTATTTAGATTTAGGTTTTGTAAATAATAATTTAGAAAATTTCTAATTTATGAATTTTACTATGATCTGATTGCTCTGTAACAAATTATCACAAAATTACCAAATGTGTTTTAATTAATTTATCAGTTAAGCTATAAAATATCTTTAGAGATATATAATGTCCTCTTGCAGCAAAAATGTTCATCCTATATTTATATAAATAGTGTTTAAATACAAATTGGACAGGCATTTTCTCAAAAATAACCAAACCTAAAGCCATTCTTGCGTTTTTAAATAAAAAAACCTGTCCAATTAAACACGTAGCTAGATCGTTTTCTGGGGGAGGGGGGGGGGTTACACTTCCCACATTATTGGTGGATGCGCACCGTGTTATCTTATAATTTGGTACCGATGCAACGTCTAGAGTTCATATGTGTATTTCCAGAAAAAAGAGAGTTTTATAATGAAGTTTTAATTTTTCATATATTTATACAGGGTGTTTTAGAATAAAGTACCGTAATTTTTGGAATTTGCAGATCTTAATCAATTATAAAGAAAAGCTAAATATAATTTTCCTATAAACGTCCCAGTTTTCATTATACAGGGTGATAAAGTGAATTTCATAAATACATATTTTCTAAATATCTTCCCTTACAGAAAAGACTTTAACTTAAAAATATGTATATGATAGGTAATCGTTATTATTAGTTAACACACTATTTTGATAAATTACCATAACCCATTGGTTTAGAATGAAGGACTAAAGAAACAATTTTATTCAAAACTTTTTGAACACCCTATATTTCATAATATTTAAGATTAATAAATATTTCTCACGCCTTTTGTCACAAAAAAAGGGACTTCTGGTTGATCTTTGTAGACCTTTCCATTCCCGAGGTGATAGAACTGATTTATTTTATACAAAGTGTTTTTAAACATGTCTTCAATAATGCTGTATATTATTTTCGCATAAAAATCCTTATAAATTTACCTATCCAACGATACCAACCTGTCCCAATAGTGCGTAATTGATCGATAGCTGTTTTATTATTGGAAATAGGAAAAACAAATTAATATAAAAGTTGTATGACCATGTTAAATAAATGTTCTTAAATATACAAGATGGTCCATAAACGAGGGGCTGACCAAACTTATACATTTTTATATTTAATTATTTTCACATCGTCAAACTACTTTAATAGACTTAATTTATTTGCTATGTTGTATATAGGGTGTTTCAAAATGAGAAGTAACGATTTTCTCATTTTTTTAAATCGAATATCCTATATGTCATATCACCAATTAATTAATACATTTAAAAATTGAAAAAATCGTAACCTCACGTTTTGACACACCCTATATACAACATAGCAAATGAATGACGTAAACTAAAATTGTTTGACGATGTAAAAACAATCAAATATGTATTACTACCTGCAGGGTGTTTTGCTTTAAAAAAATAGATTTGGTCAGCACCTCGTTTATGGACCACCCTGTATATTTAAGAATTTTTTTTAAATATGGTCATACAACTTTTATAATAAACATTTCTTCGTATTTCTAATAATAAAATAGCTATCGATCAATTATGCACTGATGGGTGGTATATGTTATTGACCAATATATTGTTATTGTTACAAAGGCAAATTTATAGGGAATTTTATGCCAAGATAATATACAGTGTGTTACGTTTGAAAAAATTGAGTAAATTGAACTTAAAATTAGCCATATTTAAGATACATTTCAAATTACTCTGTATAGAATAAACCAGTTGTATCACCTCTATTCGTTAGATTAATATTTTAGTCTGTGTATTTAACAATTTTGAAATTAGTGTAAACCTACCTAAATTATGATAATTTAATTTGGGATCTACATAATTCTCTAATTTAAAAAAAAATATTGTTTGGCAAAATTGTTATATTTTTTAAAAACATTCTAAGGTTAAATACAGTATTCCCAAGACATTCTAAAAATAATATAAAATATAGGGTGTTCTATTTAAAAAACATACATTTTTATTTGTCAGGCAAAAACGAATCCAAAAATATTTTTAAAATATGTATTTTTTAAATCCACTTTTATTAAAACTTTTTTGCTTGTCAATAACACAAATTTAAACATTGAACAATGTTTGAAAAACTCTGTTTTATTGTATTTATTTTATCTCTCTATTTTTGTTTAATATAAAAAAATATTGATGTTGACTATGGCTTGGGGGGATAATTACCCCCATTACCCCCCCCCCCCCTATCTACGACCTTGGTCCAA